AAAAAAAAAAAAGATTTTCAGTTTATTAAAAGAAAAACTTCAAATAGATCCCGAGAAAATTAAATATTGTTCTTGTTTGTTTCATGTTCTGTATTTTTCCAAAATATATATTTATCAAACCTTCATATGTTAGAGGGTTAACACTAATTTAGCAAATAAAAATGTACAACTTCCAGTTAAATTTGAATTTCAGATAAACAACAAATAGTTTTTTAGTGTAAGTAAGCCCCCAATTTAACTGGACGTCCTTTATTTTATCTGACAAACTAGTTGAGACCAAATCAGGATTCCAGAATTAGATGGACTGGAAAGATTGGTCACAATATTCAAAGTGCAAATTAAATATAAAAGTGATTTTGAACATTTATATGTGAAGTTTTTTTACGCCTATGGTATTGTGGTTATGTTTTAAGAGTCTTTATGTTTTAGAGATTTTCTGAAACATTGATTGATGGAATTATGTAGTTTCGGATTCATTCTAAATAACACAGGAGGCAGATAGATGGGGCAGATTGGCTGTGGGTTGGTGGGTACATGAAGGATAATTATACTCTTTTGTCTACTTTTGAATGTATTTGAAATTTTTCAAAGTAAAGGAAACAATAGATGTGTGTGTTAAATCATTCCTTCAGGTTTAGAAAATCTATTATTGAAACATTCTAAAAGTCAAACAATTGAGGAGTTGCTCAGTGGCACTAGAAGAGGCTGCAGATGGAGACAGGGACTGCGAACCATTTCTGGAATTGTGACATCTTTGTTCCTCCACTGGGATATTAACTGTCTGGTTAGTCATTAGCCTTTTAGAGCTGAAATTGTTCAGTTTGTAACAAGATCTCTAGGGAAAGTTCATGAACATGAGAACGTAGTTAAGTAGAGAGAGACAGCCTTTTGAAAATAGTTAAATGCAAAATGAAATAAACTATTGGGTTAGGTCAAAATAACAAACATTACATTTTTCAATTTGTTTGTGGTTTTTACAAAACAAATCTCTTTAACTGGTTGGCTCGAAGCCCTGATAAATTAATAAATTGACTGTATAGTCTAATGATTCAGCATCGGCCTAGCTTCTCTAGCAGGTGAGCTGTCAGCAGCTGGGAACTCTCAGTCTCTGGCACGACTCCTGGAAGTTATTCACTGATAGACATCTTTAATGGTTTGCTTTTTTCTTATGCCAGGATTTCCTTCAAATGCTGTTGGAGAACATCCCAGAAGAAAAAAGGTAAGGATCAATTTAGGAATTAAGAGCCCAGTTTTACTTTTAATGTTAAAAATGACCCCACCATTGTTTGGCTCGTTATAACTGAGAAAGTTCAATCTTCCTCTCAATAGCGGTGGGGACCTAGACCAGTCAGCAGGAGTCCTAGTGCCATCAACCAAACTTAGAAATGGGCCCACATGTATATTGGAAGCCAGCAGGCACAGTGGGGAGCCCCAGAATCAGGAGCCCCCAAAGTGGTATATGAGGCGAGCCAAGGACAGACACTCTGCGACCTTGGCTGCTGTGGAAAAGAATGGAGAAGAAAGTTCTAAAAGTTAGGGTGGCTCTGGTTAACATGCCTTAACATAAGGAAACTATTTAATTGAAGGTAAAAATGTGGTGTAGTAATAAGAGCCTGGGATTTGAAGTCAGGTTCTTCGAGGTTCTATCCCCAGTTCTGCCCCTTCCCAACTGTAACATTTGGAGCAGGTCACTTCATCCCTCAAAATTTCAGTTGTCCACACACTCTGGCACGGTTTCACAGAGGACTGGAGGAGCTAATGTATATGAAAAGTCGGTGCTCATTTAATGATTGACACAGTTATAATAATAATCATCTTCTGTGTATCAGGCGCATTTACAGGATCTGTGTACAGTAGATCATTGGATCTTCTACAGCACTTCTCCCCCTCCCCCTCTTCCTTCATGATTATTACAAGCCAACACTCTGGAGAGGTTACTATATACAGGTACTCAGTAAATCCTCCAGATGACACTAGTGCATTGTGTTTCCATCCCTGTTTTACCAGTAGGAGGACTGAGGTACCGAGGTGCTGAGTGAGCAGCCGGGGTTCTTACAGCTATATGTGGCAGAGCTGGGATTTGCTCCCAGGCAGCGTGTCTCTGCAACCTCTCCTCTTATCCACAGTGTTCCAGATGAGGAAACTGAGGCTCCCAGAGGTTAAGTAACTTTCCAAGATCCCTTAGTTAGCAAGGGAGCTAGCGCAGATTGTAACGCAGTCTGCCGGGCCCTCATTCATGCTCTTCGCAACGTGAGCTCGCTGCCCTGGAAAGAAGGAGAGTCTCTTCCTTGAAGGTGCCCATTTTTATTCTGGCTGACCACCTAAAGGGATTCATGGAGAAGGTTTAAGACCGACATCAAAGTTTAGATTAGATTCATTCTAACCCTTCCCTTCTCATTTTCTATCTTAATTTAGGTGCTAAAAGTGAACACTCTGAAACATAATTTCTAATAGCAGAGTTGGTATTCAAACATTAAAGGGGGCATCTTGAGAAATTAAACATTTCTTTGAAGAAGAGCCGATACTACTCTCCTTTCTAGCCCACAGTTTTAGCCATGTTTTTATGCTCGGAACAGATTTTCAAATGTGGAAATGAATTATTTCACACAATCAACTTAGAGCCATACAAGGCTGGACATGCCCATGTCGATGAGCCTGTCTTATAGGCAGCCAAATTTGGGGTTTTTAAGGGTAAGATGTCAGGGCTTATGCTACCAGGAGGTGACATGATATTCAGGGGAGGATCCAGGGGCCATGAAGATGTGGAGATTTTTTTCTAAGCATTAGATTTTTGCTTGGCCTTTTTTGTTTAAACTTCCCATCTTCCACCTTCCACCTTCTACCTCTAATTCTTGCTTCAGTGGTTGGGAGTGTTATGGTTAAGCTGCTGCTGCTTCTTTTTTTTTTTTTTTTTTTTTTTTTTTAATCAGATGGAAACACAGAGAGAGAGAGAGAGCGCGCGTGAGCAAACCAGTGCATTATACAGAATTAACATAGCCATATTATTTGAGAATTTCCTTGATTTCTACCTTGTTCATGCCTTTGGATGCTGAAGGAAGCCCTATCCAAGGAGATTGCATGGGGCTGTAGTCATTGGCCAAGATAATTAGCTTTTTCAGGAGGCTGCTTGAAGGAAGTGTGGCTTGTTTTAAAAGGTCTGAAATGTTTCAGGTTTACCAATTTTTCTTTTTAGCAGAAATACAGGTTTTCTTTATGAAAAAATCACATCTGATGTGGTCATTATTCCTAAGGTTAAGAACAATCGTTTACTAGCAGTATTTTTTAAATCTCTTTTCTTTTGTACGTGCCCTGGTATAACTTTTCAGGTCCTCTGATAGAATGAAGGTATTTCCTTAGGAACTAGTGCAGGGGGGAAAAAAAGAAGAAAAGAAAATTAGTAGAAATGGTATATTATCTCCTGATACCAAGGGCTGTTTCTGAGTAATGACTATGCGTTCTTTCAGAATAACTTCTTAGGGCACAGATACAGTAATTTTCATGGAAGGAACTAATTGAGTTTGTAGTTTGGGAAGTCTTCTTTCTTTTTATCTTCTTCCTAATAAGGCTATGGAGTTCATTTGATGGCCCCAAGCCCTCCGGCTCTGGGGGACCTGGATTTTATCATTGTGAATATTTATTGAGGTGACACACTGTGGGCCACAAAGAGACTTTTATTGTGATTGTGGAAGTTAAGAGCAGCATTTCTGTTTAATGGTGGCCAACGACCACCAACCTTCTCCCTTTGAGAGGTTCCCTCTCTCAGGATCATGTTTTGGCTAACAAGTTTGAGTTTCTTTTAAAATTTCTCCTTAAAAGTTAAGGCAGTTTCATTCCCACAGTAAACTCTTTCAGCAAGTATACTGGAATATTTTTTGAAACTCAAACATCTTCTTTCCTGCTAACTAAACTCAGAATCTAATTCAGCTATCGAAACAGACTGTTTATCCATTTACCTATGCGGCATATTGTACCAATTTTATCTAGATCTCCAAAGGCCCCACACCTATCCCCGGAGCCTCTAATCTTTGGCCCTATTGCAAAATGATCCTCAGGCACATCTGTTAGGCACGTGAGCTGTTCTGAATAGGGCAAGGTTTTTCAGATTAGACCATCCAGTCAGTATTCAGGGGCCTGTACTCTCTGTGTCATACTGCCTTTGCCTGTTCTCTTGCTTCGATTAATTTAACATTCTCTGTTGAGCACCTCCCATACCAGGCTCTAGGCTAGACACTAGAGCAGCAGTCCCCAACCTTTTTGGCACCAGAGACCAGTGCTCCTAGGAGAATCTAATGCCTGATGATCTGAGGTGGAGCTGAGATGGTGATGCTAGCACTGGGGAGCAGCTGCAAATACAGATGAAGCTTTGCTTGCTTGCCTCTTGCTGTGTGGCCCGGTAACCTGCACTAGGGAACAGAAAGGAATAAATTTCATGCCTAGCTCTCGGGGACCTCCGAGTCTACTGCTGAAAACGTACATGAAACAGATCGTTATGACCCAGTGCAGGAAGTGTTTTGGGTAGCTTCGCAGTCCTGGGTACACAGCGGAAGGTGTACCTCCAGCCTTCAGGCAAAGAGGTACCACTGAAGGTTTTAAGTAGGGAGTGCCATCGGCAGACTGGAAAGATAAATGGTAATGTGGAAGGTAGATGGGGGCAGGGAGAACTAGAAGTCAGGAGACCAATTAGAAATCAATACAGCAGTTCACTCAAGAGATGAAGAGCTGGAACCGTGGTGGGGATGGTGGTGGTGGCCGTAGGGTTTGAGAGTAATGAGCAGATCTGAGAGATATTGCAGAGAGGTGCCACAGATAAGACTTGGTTGATGGGTTGTGGGAGTCGAATGGAGGAATCCAGCAAGAGCCCGACCTTCCCTTCTTGGCCACTCAGTCATACTCTGAAGATGAGCTATAAGTACAGGGGCAGCTGTTTTGTCTTGGGAATCAGTGTGGCACAGAGGAAGTGAGTGGGAGGGGAAGTATTTGAAAATGGAAGTGCGAAGATGAGGAATTGTGTTTTAGACATCTTCAGAGAGAGGTTCCGTTTAAAAGCTGACGTTTTATGAGACCAAGGGAAGGAAAAGCTAGAAGTGCTTAGAAAGAAATCCAGACAAATCCCGGATGCCGGCCTGCCCTGACAAAAGAGTGCTTTAGGGAGTACCTTAACCAATGTACCTGCCACCTGATATTCCAACAGTATCAACAGCTACCAGTTCTTCCTTTGCTCACCACTTCTTGTGTTTGTATGTATGTGTTCCTATGCTGGTTTTAATTCCATACTTTTCCACCCCTGCGGAGCTAGGGAGTACTCGTTTATAAATGTTACATTGGCAACCTTCATTATTTACCCAAGCACAAATAACTTTTTTTGATTAGTAAAATAAATAACCGTGTGCAAAGCGTTGAGATATACACTATTTGTATCCACGTGTAGAGAGGACACTTAAAAACATAAATTACTAACATTTAAAACCCACACAGAAGGTGAGTTGCACTCCAGGACAAGAGCATTTTCCATTTCAGACCTGAGCACTGAAGTTCCCAGAGCTTGCCTCCATTTAGTACCCGCGCTCCCATCTATCCTTTAGCTCCTGTGGTTGTTGCTAGGCCATGTGCTCGCCTCTAGAGGCATGGATAGAATGTCATCTTTAGAATCTCAAGGGGCCGAAGATGCGACTCAGGGAAAGATAAAGACATTTCTCCTGATTAGCGACCAGGTGATAGACGCAAGTAGCAGACATGGCCGATACTCAGCTCCCCATCCTCGTCACTCCACCCTCAAGGATCAACCGAATGAGCGGCACGGCATGTGCAACGCCATTTTCACACAAGCCTGGGTCTATTTCTATGCACTTTAACATCACGAAGAGAGGAGCAATTGATCACTTTCTTGGCTTCTAACCAGCATCTTGCCAGGGCATCCAGCATATTCTCTCTCCTGCTGCATTAACTATGTGTGGCCACGTTTGTAGCCCACAGGGACTAGAGAGGGACTTCTAAAACACAGAGTTATTGTCTTACAGGATGTAGGAGTCCAGCAAGGGAACTCTCTAGCCAAAAGTTTGACTAGAGACCCCAGGGCTTCAGGCAAGAGGCAGAAGTGCCACTCATGGGCACCAGTCTTTGGAGGGTATGCATCCGCAGTCTGTGCACTTTTAACCGGCTGTAGAAAATCAATTTTCATAGTGATCAGATATGCAGAAGAGTAATTTCCTATAAGTCCTGGGTCCCAGGGAGGTGGAAGTGTGTCTGCTTGTCTGTCATGATGATTTAAGCCACATGATCTCAAGGGGAAATGGTCCCCATTGGCTTGGACCCTGAGTGTCTTGATTTGAAAAAAAGTCAACTTTCGCTTTTACCACTGCTGTATAGCCACGTTCAGACCTAAAAATTTACTCATACTGTCATCTCAATAGTTACGACCAAAAAGCAAAAACTACATACGCGTTATCTTTTTTCCCTAAAACATACAGTTTTCTTCCTTGAAAATTAAGCATTTTTGCACAGTCTCTCATAATTTCCTTGGTAGTAAGGCCACTTATAGTATCCTAAAGCAATTTTTTAGCAGCTGGAGTTAATGCTTTCATCTTCTTCTCAGAGTTTAACACCTTGTGTCACGTGAGCAATCCACAGACAGGCGTAGGTGCAGTGCAATGTCTGCACCGATACCAGGAGTCCAGAAACTCCGTCTTGTCTTCAGCCCTTTGTCTTGGTTGACGTTGGCCAGTCTTCTTATGCTGCAAGTTTTTCCATCTGCTAAGAAGCCCGATAACAATTGACACCCACTTCACAAGGATATTAGGAGAAATGAAGTGATAATGGTTATAAGATGCTTTGAACCTTTCCAAAGGAAAGTGATCTGAAAACACATGTTCTCTTCCCTCAAGGGGGAGTGTCTTTTGCTTCTGGATGCAGCTGAATGATGAACTCTCCTGCCCTCACACTTTCGCCCCTCCCAAGGGTCTCCCCATCTCTTCAGAACTCCAGTCCAAGGGTAGAGGAACAGGGCAACCACAGCAGGGACCAGGCCATATTTTGCAGGAGAAGATGTTAGCAAGAAGGAGGAGTCAGCGTTGCTTGGAGCAGGCTTGTCTGCACCATGAATCACAAAGCTATGTATCGTGACACTTGAATTTGGCACAGAAAGAAAAGAGGGAGCTTTGCAGCCAGACAACATAGTTTAGTTTTGAATACCAATTGTGTAGCCTTGGATAAGTCCCCTAACCTCCCGGAACCTTTATTTGTGCATCACTCAGTTGGGGATAATAACGTTAGTCTTGCATAGATATTGTAACATTTAAATGAGATTTTGTTTGTAGTGTATGGTACGTAGTAGGTGTTCAGTAAGCAACAGGTACTTTTAAACCTTTACTTGGTGGCGGATAGAGGAGTTTTGTTTGTTCTGTTTTTAGTGCCACTATATAGTAGTAATTATGTGTGCAAATACGAAACATGGCAAAGCAAAATTTGTCTTAATACTTGCTAATGAAATAATCCTCACAGTTGGCCTGTCTAGGTTGTAGACTGTACATGAGCATATACGTTCTATGGAAGGTTGTCCTGCAGAGAGCGATGGGCTCGTTATCCACACACCGTCTCTCACCCCTCCAACAGGACTCACCCAGGATTGCCCTCCACTTTCAAACCCTGCATCCACCTCCATTTAGGCCTCCTCTCATCACCTATTACTTGAACACATTCATAGCCCCTCGCTTGGTCTCCCTGCCTCCAGTTTCTTTTCTCTTAGTTATTCTTCCTTGGCTCCATTCTGTTCATGCCATTCTATAGCTTTGCTTCAGAGTTTCCTTGATGTAGCCAAAGCTTCTTGGCAGGACCTTGGGGTCCTCACAGGACAACCCATTTCCTTTCTCATCTCATTCTGTGTGCCAGCCTAGCTGACCATGGCTCTGAGCTCCTGCCTCTGCTCTCCTTACCCTGCCTATGCTTGCATTCCATTTCTACTGGTCTTGCCCCATCGTTTGGGACAACACAGCCTTCCTCCATGACAGTTCAAGCCTGCCTCCTTTACGAAGACTCCCCTAATGCCCCTCCTGTTGTCCTCCTTCCTGGCGTCCCACCTGAAGCAGTGAGAGCCCCTTGGACACACATAGAGTCAAGCGCAGGCAGCATTCTGACTCGTGTCCTCCTATGTCCCTGTCAGACAGCGTGGCCCTGGGGTTTCCCATCTCAGCCTCTCACAGAGCCTTGTACCCGGTAGGTATCCACCGAATGTTTGCCACACAGAGAAGGCTCCGGTGAAGACTTGGATCTCACTCAGTAATATTCCAGCACTCACCTCCCCAATTCCTCCCCATGCCACTCCTACAGAGGGGTCTTCCAGCTAAAATTCCCCAAAGGAAATTTATGTCCATGTCCTCTTACGCACTCTTTCATGGGGATGCACAACAGCTGTTCACCATCTTTTGTAAAATCACTCGGAAATGGCTATGAAGTCACTCTCCAGACTTCTCTGCTTCAGGATATTTAATCCCAGTTCCCTTGACCTCCCTCTTGGATCCAGTGTGCTTACGTCTTTGATCATCTCTCCTGTTCTTTTCTAAATTCTTTCTAAAATCTTCCTCTTAAGTCGAGGAAGGTTTAAGAATGCCATTTTCCTGTAATGCTACAGCACAGTAGAGCTGAGGTCAGAGTCAGCCTCCTCTTGCTACAGCTTTCCTGAGTATCCTTTGAAGGACAGGTGACTGGAGCTTTTGACCCCAGGGCCCCGGACACAGGAGTGTCCCTCTCTGGCCGGAAAGGAAGTAAACAAAGGGGTCACTTAAAGAGAAGCACCAGTGAAGGAAGGATAGGAAAGAAAATGGGCCTTGTCTCTAAATCAGGGCACACAATATAGAGCGCCTGCAGGACCTCCACAGCTGCTCAAGCCCTCCAGCGGGAACTTGACCCCAACAAATGACTGCACCGCCCCCACACACATGCCAGAGAAGGTGGGGGATGATCTGCATTCATTTCAAATAAGACTAGGCCTTCATTGAGCATCTCGTCCTCAACGAAAATTATAACATTTATCTTACTTTCCAGCCTATACTTGCCACAAAAAAACAACTTCATGTCTCTTTGGACACTTTATCTAAGTGTCCCCTTCAGTCTGACTTTCCTTCTCCTGGCAGAGCAGTTATGCCAGCCTTTAAGGCTATTTCCAGCTCCCCTCCTCCTGCAGCCAACCAAATAAATCAAGTCCAAGAAAGAATCAATGATCTCAATGTAAGGTGCCCTGAGAGCTGCCTCTTCTTGTCCAGTCACCCCTATGCCCACCCCTGCCACCTGTGTGTGCACACACTCTCACAGGCACATGAGTGCACACACACACCTCATACTCTCATAACTTACAGAGAGGACTTGGCCGTTCGCATTGAGTTTGACACTGTTAAATGATAACAAAAAAGTAATGGGGAAAGGCCCAGGGATGGTAGGACCCGGCCTTTTATATGAGGCATATCCAGTACCATCATTGAGTCTGGGAACCTGGACCAGCGGCCTCGGGAGGGAGGTCACCATCTTCCCAAGATTCACTTCTGCCTCTCTTTTTAGCCTGTTGTCTCACAGATGGGCATCATCTTGAACATGAATACAAATCATTTTCCTTGCATAGTCTCTCTTTCTCTCTGTGTATTATTTCTGTTTTGAAATAGCAATGGTCACTTCTTTCAGCAGCCTTTGCTTTTGCCCTGGCCAGGGAGGATAAAATGTACCAGTGACATGCTTCTCCCTGGGGAAGAAAAAGAAGAGAAAGTACCAGTCAGTCCCCTCCTTCCAGTCCCCACCTAGGCCAGCTCCCTGCCTCCCTTTTTCCCTGTACCTAGCAAGGCGAGGCGAGCACTGGTCCTGCACCTTAACAAATGCAAACAAGGCCCATCTTTCCACAACTTCTTTTACAATTCCAAAAGGAAGGGAAGGAGAGAATATTATACATAGAAAATGTACTATGTAAAATAGAAAATGGAAAAGATACACATTTTAACAACTTGGGAATATCTTACTGGGAAAGGTGATTATCGTCTTAAAAAGGAATAATTTTTGTTGCGTTAACAGGAAAATGTGTTTTCATTCATTCAAATAAGAAGATCCATTGGGATCCCATTTTATACCAAGAACTGTTTCAGGTGCTGGGTTATGAAGTGAGTAAGACAGGGGTGGACCCTGATCTCAGAGAGCTTCGATCCAATGAGGAGACAGTTAAAAGTCAAGTAACCAAAAAAATCACAGTCAGAAACCATGATGGATGCCATGGCATGGAGGACAGGGAGCATGGTGGATATGACACAACCTCAAGGAAGGCCTCTGTAAGTGGAGAGACTGGGCATGAGTGGGAGTTATCCAGAATTGAGTGAGGAATTGCTTTAAACTTCAGGAAGACACAACCTAAAGGCCATTGACCCTAAATACACTGGATACTTAGTACATCTAAGGAGAATTCAAATCAACAGGGCACGAAACCAAAATTATTTCAGCTGACTTTGGACCAGACGTAACAAGCAATTATAATATTTCAAATAAAGCAGAATGTGGGCCGGCTTGAAAGCAGAGGCCATAGAAGCCTCACATGTTCCATGCTTCCGAGCTTCTCTCCAAGAGTGATTTGTATCGTTTTTACTTGTCATAGCTCATCGTCACTATGAAGTTCGAATTTCATTTGGATGCACTAAGTGTTGTAATGTTCAGGTTTCACTTTGCTGCACCATCTCAGGAAGCCGTCAAGCCTGATGTGTCTTATGAACATGACCTAGCCTCCCCAAATTGGCTCCCAGCCAAAAAGTCCCTCACAGGGCAGGAAAGGCACCTATCATGGTCTGCCTCTGAGCTTTAGATTTCATCCTACTGACTGAAGATAAGCTGTACTGAGTATGACCAGGTCCCCTTCCACACTTTAACCTGTGACAGTGGTGCTCTTTCTCCAGAGAACAGATACTTCTCCAGAAGATCAATGCTATGATGTGCCCGAATAGTTAGAGACCATTCTGTGTCATCATGCTCTATAACTTTTAATCCTTGTTGTTCTTGTTTTATTTTTAAAGGCTTGAGTTGTCTGTTGAAAGCATCTTTCGAGACTGGCTTGAGAGTTCCGGAATACCACAGGTGAGCTCCAGATTACTGCTACAAGGGAGGCAATGGAGAAAAGTTTGCCACTTAGTGTATTAGTCATGACAATGATTTATTTATATATTTATAAATATAAAAGTAATCATCTTTCTGAGTTGGAGTATTCCTAAGTCAGGGAAATGATGGTCTGCCACCCCTTCTCAGCCTGCCTCGGGCCTCTGCCTCAAGTGACCTCATGTCATAGGTGGACATGCTGCTCTCCCCTGAACTGTGTGTAAATGAGCTCTTGCGAAATGTGGTGTATATTTTGGGTGGCATTACCAGGCCACAGTTCAGTGCCGCCAGTGGGTTTGTAGCTGGCCTCCAGCTCTACTCTTTGGATGCAGCCAGTGAGCTGGCTGCCTATAGCTTTCCACTGACCTGGCCCGCTCATGGTTTCTCTTATCATTTCCTGGTGCTGCTGCCCCTCAACTTCCCCCTTGAGTTCTGTATCCCTGCCTCAGGCTGGTTTCTCATATGAATGAGCTTTCTAGATTCATTTCTGTCTTAAGGACTAGGACCTTCCCTACTGCTGGTTTTGCTTTCCCCCTTCCTTTCAGCCCCCGGGCAGTGCTGCAGGAGACAGTTCCCAGCCAGCCCGCGGGCTCCGGCTCTGTGTCTGTGAGAATTACCTGGCTTGGAGTCTTCTCTCCTCTCTACCTCCCTACACCCCTTGCCTATACTTCCTGAATCCTGGAGGGTATCCCTGGCCCCTCACCAACCTGGGTGCTATCCCTCTCTAGAGCCTGGGCCCTGGGAAGTCCCAGGGTGGCATCCTGAATGGGGCTGGTCAAAGGACCCTGCAGGCCTGGAGCTTTTCTAGTTGGGGCTGCTCCCAGTGTGGCTGCAGACCCATCATAGTAGGCCCCCCTGTCTGAGTGGACTTCCACAGCGGTGAGAAACTGCCCTGTACCCAGGCAAGCAGCCTTGTTAGCCTGCTCGTTTCTGGTTTCATGGCTGGTTACATGAGCTTCCCCTTGGGAGTGTCTAAATGTCAATGAATGTCTGTGAACCATGAAATTAAGAAACAGGAGGGGCTGTTCTCCATTACCTTTTCATCCCCCTCCTCAAATCTTTGTCCTGTTCTACACAGGACAATGTCGGCCACCAGCCACCATGACTCATTCCTAAGAAAGACTTTGGTTCAGGACTGTGTGTCACCTGTTACAAGTTACTTGTTTGGCCCAGTTCTTCTTGGAGAGGAAAAAAAAAAAAAAAAAGAATAAAATCCTGAGCCCTAAAAAGGCCAAACAAAGCAAGGGTTGGTAAGGCAGCACCTGGTCTGGGAAGGCAGTGCTTTCAACTCATATGTATTATAATGAGCTCCCGTGCTTTCTAAGATGGTGGCTTCCAAACCAGGCTGCTTGCTAAGTACAAAAATCTTGGGGAAACAACGTTTCAGTCCGTCTGATCCTAAAGAGGCAAGCCTTGCCCTTGTTTTCGATGGGGGCGGGGGCATCCTCTGAAGCCATCTGCGTGGTGTTTACTGGGCCAGGCTGTAGCATGGCTCCTAGACATTCTTATGGTGGCCTGGGCTGGGAAGAGCTGGGAGCTCAGAGAGCAGAATCCCGAATTTCCTGGCTCCAAACAACAAGGCCGCTGTGTTCGGCAGTTTGCCCCGAGGGAAGAGAACAGAAAGAGTCCTTAATCCATGCCCAGAAGCGGGCGCACCCCACTCGGCTATAGCACTGGGGCTGACCCTCTCACTCCCAGGAGGCTCATAATTTCCCCCGAAGAGGAGGAGGCTTTGCCACCAGGAGGAGGCTTTTGCTTTTCATTAAAAGGGGGAGGAGAATGTGGAGGGGAGAGATTTGCCTCTGAGCGGAATGTTTCTTCCAAAGGTCTAGTTGCATTAGTGACAGCTTAGAGTGTAGACAAGAATCTCTGCTATAAACTGACGAAACCTGCTGTCAAAACACAGCCAGGTGCAACGAGGCCAACCCAGCTATAAATTGTCTTTAAGACTCAACTGGTATTTCCTTGGATGCTTAACTGTTGGGTAAAAACAACAGCCTCAGACAGAAAAGACCCTGATTTAGTGCATATCTTTTCATTGGTGAATGATCAGATGGCATCTTTTCATCTCTTTACCCTTTTCTGCCATTATTTATATGGTTGATGATGATTTACCTGCTTGCAGCCTTTTCACGCTCCTTGCAAATTCCAAGGTTCTGCAAGGGCTGGGACCCTGTGGTTGCAGGAGCCTGGCAGTGAATGAGACACCTTGTTCTTTGTCTCCATCATTATAATATAAAGTTACTAGTGTGCTTGGCCTGGATTGACAACCAGAGCACTGAAATCACTCCAGTGCTCTTTGTTCTCGTTAAAAATTTCTGTCCACCAGCAATTGATTGAAGTCATTTATGACAAAAGAGTCACGTTCTACCGGTGAAGTTTTCATTCCACAGGTTACAGAAGCTTTTTGTCTTCTCTCAGGAAGGCTTGCCTTATGGTTGGCCTCGATTTTCCTTTTTGGCCACATTGAATGGAAATCATTTTTTAAAATGTAGAAATAGCTTCAGCAGCAATAAAAGTAAGCATGAACCCCCAAAGAAGTAAAATAAAAGAGATCCAAAGAACACCCAACCCTCTATAACCTTTGGCATTGCAAACAGATTTAAAATGGATCAGAGCATTGGCATTATAGATTATTTCCTTTAAGACTTTTTTTGATTATAGAAGAATTACATGTTTTAGAATATTAAAAAGTTTATAATAAAAATAACCCAAAGATAATTTTTGAAATAAATCCTTTCAGTCATTTTTCTGTATGAATATATAGTTTACCTTTTTCTTTGTCTCCCTTTTTAAAAATAATATGTTCTCTATAGCAAGTTCAAGCAATAGCAAAATATAAAACAAAGCCCTTGCACTCTTCAATCTTACCCCGCTAGAGATAATCCGTGCCTGTTAACAGTTTGGTATTCTTCCTTCCATACATTTTCTGTGCTGTATAGCAAGTAGGTGCATATTCCTTTTAAACAAAACTGGAATTTTATTATCCAAACTTAAAGCCTTCATTTAAAAATATATCCTAAGCAAGTGGTGTTGGGAAAACTAGACAGATACATGCAAAAAAAAAAAAAAAAAAGAAAGAAAGAAAGAAAAAGAAATTGGACCACCTTCTTACACCATATACAAATATAAACTCAGAATGGATTAAAGAGTTAAATGTAAGGCCTGAAACCATGGAACTCCTAGAAGAAAACAGGCAGTAAAGTCTGGCATTGCTCTTAGCAATATCTTATTGGATATGTCTCCTCAGGCAAGGGCAACAAAAGAAAAAATAAACAAATGAGACTACATCAAATTAAAGAGTTTTTGCACATCAAAGGAAACCATCAACAAAAGGAAAAGACAGCCCACTGAATGGGAGAAGATATTTGCTAATGATACATCCAATAAGGGGTTAATGTCCAAAATATATAAAGAACTCATACAACTTAACACCAAAAAAAAAAAAAATCCTATTTAAAAATATAATAGGCAGAGGACCTGAATAGACATTTCTCCAAAGAGGACATGCAGATGGCCAATAGACATACAAAGGGCTCAACATCATAAACCATTAGAGAAATGCAAAAAAATCACAATGAGATGTCACCTCCCACCCGTCAGAATGACTATCATCAATATATCAACAAATAACAAGTGCTGGAGAGGATGTGGAAAGAAGGGAACCCTGGTACACTTCCGATGGGATTGTGCGGCCACTATAGAAAACAGTACAGAGATTCCTCAAAAAATTAAAAATAAAGCTGCCATATGATCTAGCAATTCCACTTCTGGATATTTATCCAAAGAAAACATAAACACTAGTTTTAAGAGATATATGTACCACTATGTTCATTGCAGCATTATTTACAATAGCCAAGATATGGAAGCATCCTAAGTGTCCATCTTTAGACAAGTGGATAAAGAAGTTGCGATATATTATGTACAATAGAATGTCACTCAACCATAAAAAAAGAATGAAATCTTGCCACTTGGGACAACATGGATGGACCTAGAGGGTATTATACTAAGTGAAATAAGTCAGAGAAAGACAAATACCATATGATTTCACTTATATGCGGAATCTAAAAAACAAAACAAATGAATAAACAGAACAAAACAGAAACAGACTCATAGAGAACAAACTGATGATTACCAAAGGGAAGAGGGGTGGGGGGATGAGAATAAAAAAATAGTCCGTAGTTTACTTTGTTCTTTACCAGCTGTGTGACTTCCAGCAAATTTAACAACAAAAAAAAGGCAACTGTTAGGCTTTTATATTTCTCAAAAAAATCAGTTTCTTCTACTTTGGTTATCATAATTATTATATAAAAAAAATGGATTTTATTCTATTGTGCTCTCAATTATGATGGTTATTATATTTGCCTGATTACCCAAAATGCTAACTAGTTGAAGAATTAACATTATATTTAGTACCTAGCCAATTTTAGAAGTAGGAAATTATAAATCACCATATTTAGTCTGTATAAAAAGGAATCTTACATCTAATAGTCTATAATATATATTCACCCAAGAAAACATGCATTAAAAGAACAGTAAGAGGTGAATATTCAGTGTGCCATGTGGGGACTTTGCTATGTGATTTCCATTACAGTTAATGGGTGTTTGGTAACTAAGTCCCTGTGCCTCTCTAACCCTGTATGTGCTCCAGAGGGCTAGACATAAAACCGGAGTGATTCAGGAACTTCTAAGCTTTCTGAATTAGTGCTCTTCTTCAAAAAATAAATGAAAGCAAAACACAAAGAAAAAAGAAGCCGTTTTCCATATCCCTTGATATAATTCAAGAGCAATAATTTTTAACAGCTGCATAGCTTCCTAATGAATAGTACCATAATTTAATTTACTCAGACCCTGGCTGTTGGAATAGCAAACATTATTTATAAGAAAGATGCCCATTCTGCTAATTCGACAGTTCTATAAACAGATCTTGATTTCTTTTCATCTCTGCCCGAAGGTCTTCACCACCCCAACCCATATGTACA